CCCACCCAGCCCACTCTCGCCCCTTAATCCACAGAAGAAAAGGAAGAAAAAAAGAAGGAAGTATGCCGTAGACTTGTCAAAATGGCTACAGCGGCCATGTTGGCTTATATAATGTACTTGCAGTGAGCATTTAAGGCGCTTTTGTGTTCGGGTTAGATCTCATGAATGTACTGAACCAAAAAAAATACAGTCGAATCTGCCTACTCTTACGGCCACCTGTCTAAGACAACCACCAGTTCAATCGTCCACTTCCCTCATCGCCCCCCCCCCTTTTTAGTTTTAATTTATCTACAATAATACTATGATTATAATGACACTGTCCCATATGACCAGCTGTCTGAGGACAACCTTCCTTGTCTTTTCTTATGACAGTGAATGACCAGTTTGGGCAATTTCGACTGTATGGTAAAGATGATTGAAAAATTGTGAACACTACTCACTGCTCGACGCCTCACCGTAAAAATAACATTAACAGCATCATTAATTTCGTTCGTTGAGTGGTACCAACATGCCCTGGTGTATGCCATTTTATGCGGTGTATTTTCTGATTTTGCACTTTCCTTTTTACCCACCCCCCTCTCCCCTGGTTCTGACCCCCCAGTGCTCTCCCCTCTCCCCCTCTACACTTCATCCAGTTTAACCCCGTCCCCACCTCTCCCTACCCTCACTTCCTCATCCTAATCGTTTTCTTCCTCTTTCTCCTTCTCCTTCTTTCTTTTCCTCCTTCTTTTTTTCATTCATCTCCTCGTCCTTCCCCATGAGCTAATTCTGTGGCAAGGAGAGTAGCGCGTCACGACTGCGAGTTCCGAATTTGTTCCTTTTTATTAGCGCCCAATCCCTTTTCCCTATTGTGTACGCTATTGAATAGATTGTCACTATTATCTTCGCTGCTGAGTTGGTGCTAAAGTCTTTCTGATGCTTTGAATTAATAAATAAAGTCTGGAAACTCTTATGTAAAGGACGCACATCAAGAGAAGCTCATCTTTTCCTGAACCAAGAACGTAAGACTTTATCTCGTTTGTAGAGATTCGTTAATCTCCATCTTTTTTGTGGAGTGTGATTTATGAAAGCTTAAAGTTTCCTCTGCATATTTGCATATTTTGTAAAGTAGTGGAAGCACTTCTGCACCATCTCATACGAACTGGCAATAGTAGTGACTTCTGTTTTTGTTTTGTTTTTAACACTTTTGTTATTCTGAGCGCGACGTCTGTAATTGAACCTGCTCAGATACCTCACGAATTCCAAACTCGCCTCTCCACCCTTCTGTTACGCCTAAAACCGTAACCGTAACTAATTTCATTCATCCAGCTTAATACGTTCTATCATGTGTTTTGTGCAACTCCTCCCATCTCGCCTGTTGTGCTGTTTGTCTTTATAAGTTTATTTTTTGGTAACCATTATTTTTTGTAAGTCATTGTTTCAAGCGCTTAGCGGGGGTGGTGGATTTCTGAGAAGTTGACCGATCCAACTCTCAGCATGTTTGCACTTCAATCTGACCTTTGACACAAGCACAAAGGTCACTTTCTGGACTGCACACATGCTCCCTCAGCTTTTCTCGTAGTGTTACTAATTCATTCTCTACGCTATGCTTAGATTGGGGTTTTGGAGTCCTTTCAAATCATATTTTTTTCTTCTCCTCCTTACAATTATTTTCTGTGTTGTTTTTTTTATATTATTATTCTTCGATGTGCTTGATAATATTTTGTCACTTCAAATGAGATGCATAACTATTATCATGTTTATTTTTTTTATTTCTTGCGTTTTATAATTTTACTTATGAGATGTATTTTTTGCTTAATATTTCTAATCTAACAGGCTTCTGTCTCCAGTGACCCCCCTCAACTTTCCCTAGTCATGGGCCTTTTGTAAAAACCATACGGTAACTTTGATGAGGCTGAGAACGTAATCACTTCAGCCTTTTGAAGTGTTCATTGACGGCGTAATGCTATAGCTCTAGACTCGGTACACTTGAGAACTGTTTTTGCTTTTTGGTTTTGGAGCCTGTCCTTTTGTTTTGTTTTATTTTTCTTCTGAAAGCCCGTTCCCCCCGTTGGTTTCTGCCACAGCGAAGCAAAGCAAAGCAAACTATGCTTGTAACTGTGTCCCTCTTAAAAAACAACCAAAACTTTTTGGGGATTATTTTCTATCTCGAATAACACTGGTGATCAGTGCCTACTGTACTAATCCTTTGCGATAGTCTTTTTGCCCTGCACTCATTACCTTGACTTGCATTCGATCTGAAAGGCAAATCAGAGCGTCCAGCATTCCTCTCACACTTTTGTAATAATGAAATAAGAAGTGTAATATTTCTCCAGCATGTTTATATTTTTTTCCTTTTTTTTTTTACTACCATACATCGCTGGTAGAAATTTTGATCTCTCTCTCTTTCTCTCTCTCGCTCTGAATACTGAAAACATTGGACTCTTTGAGAACTTTGTAAGCTCTAGTAGCTGTCAATGAGACCTGTGTAATAAAGACTCAGTCCTCAAATTAGTGCCATCTGTCCCCCTTAAGTTCAACTTATCGGCCGTTTTTGACTCTTTTTTCATATATTTTTTCCCAATGAAACAAGGGGTTTATATGTAAGAACGAGATAACTGAATAGATAGTGTCCCCAGAAAGTCTTTATATAATCTGAGCAAAATATGTTTTTTATAATTTTATTTTGCAAAGCAAGGTTGGAAAGGTGTAGCACTTTCACTCTGCAAATTCATTTATGTACTTCAAAGCCTATTCAATGTACCCGAAATTTGAGCTTCGGCAAGGAAACGTCTTTCTTCTCACCAACCATGCACTTCCCCAATCCCCGTCGAAACCATGAATGATAATTTCTGACTTTTGACTTATTGAGAATGCTGTTTCGACTAGATATTATAAGATAATTCCATGGACTTTCAGACTTTCGAAGAACGGCGCTGGATTAAGAATTTCAGGAAGCAGTCATCGTAATGGTTTTCTCAGAATATTAACGATAAATTAAAACTTGCCACAGAGAACAACAAAGATGTCTTCAAGATTCTAATTGAAAAAGCCAAAAAATAAATACATTTTTAAAAAATAATAAATAAATAGATAAATGTCCCAAGCACTTCTGGACTTGTCTAGACGGCATGCCACAAATCTTCACGCCTTACGCTAATGCGTCCAACGTATATGTCACCGATCTCGCCCTGCGCTAACCCCCCAAAGGCACCAATCCTTTGTCATATAACCTTCCCTTGTCTCTCACCCCCACCCGTCAGGCTGGCTTCAGTAGCGTCCACAAAGTATGTATAGCTGGGTTCCCTGGCTAGGACGTTTACTGGAGACATGCGCCCGCCTATATTTTACACGTGGTTACTGGCCTTACAAACACAAAGAAAAAAAAAAAGAACACTGCACAGAACGAGCAATCACATTTTGCCCCACATTTCTATGTCTGAGGTCCCCATGGGGGGGACCGAAGAATATCCCCCAAGAAGCCACGAACAACTACAATAAAGGCAACAAAAACAAACCCAACACATCAAACCCACTGGAAAAGGGGGGAAACACCATTACTGCCTGTTCCACGTGTTTTGTCAGTTATAAAAATGGCGGCGGCGCAAGCTGTTCGTTATGCCAATCCCAAAATGCACCACAAAACACGACTGGGTAACCGGTTTGCTGCTGCTCGCAGACCACTCTAGTGTCGCCATGTTTCCAGGCGCAAAGTGCTCGGCCTGACTTCTGGTGTGGGGGAGCCCGGGATCATCAAGTGGGACCTAGCCCTGTGCCTCTTACTCGCCTGGATCGTCGTCTATTTCTGCATTTGCAAGGGGATTAAGTCCTCCGGAAAGGTGATCACCTATCGGTGCCGTCAAAATGGATCATGCACAAATCTTTTATTATCTCACATAGTACAATCAGGGCAGAGAGCTTTAAGGACTAGTCTGTAAAGTGTCCAACTATACACTTAGAGTAGCTGTATCCATGGCACCGATATAGTTTTAGAAGAACGTCAGAATTATAGAGAGCAAAACTTGTTAATCTCAAATCCTTCCTTCTTTTTTTAATCAATCGTAGAAATAATTGTGAGACAATTTCACGTTAGGATTTTTTTTCAATTTCTTCTTATTTTCCCCTTAGAGTGCTCGATGAATATGTAAATCTACTTCGACGTAAACTATAGACTAATAAAAGAGTTTTATCGAATATACACCCACCTCCTTTTACAACAGTGAGCCTTCAAGCTTATCTTTCTCCTGTATTTATTTTGTAAAAGTTTGCTGGTATAAATGAAATGAACGAAGGTTCTTTTTCTTGCTAATGTCTTTTCTTAATTTTTCTAAGACGTACACTTTTGGTAGATATGTCACTCTTGGCTTTTTGTGTTTTGGAGGGAGGGGAGGTGGGTTTGATTTGAATTGCTTGGCCAAGCAGCATTCTTATTCAATGTTACTGTCAGTTTACCCCCCATAACTTTGCCATGATCTGTGCAATGCTGTGTTGATCAACTGCCCCCCCAAGAATGCGCACCACGTTATCTCAAATTTTCTGTCTCTTTGCGTGTGTGTGCGCGGCGCGCATTGAGCGCCCAATGCCTCCCGTTTGCCTTTGTCGGTAAACGGACAATGACCACTCTGATCTGACAACTCTTCGCTGACCAGAGACATACCTCAGATCACTGAGGCACCTCCTCACGACTTTAACCATACCACCAATTGAGCAAAAGTTACTTTTTGTTAAAATTAATGGCATCGTACAACTGTTGGTACTTGTTTATACAACTTTGGCGAAACCACAGCTATTTCTTGTGAGCCAAAGATTTTTTTCTTGTAAGTCGAAATAGTGTGGTTCTGTGGTTCTGTTTTGTACTAAGAATCACTTGCTGCGCACGATAATTCCCTTATATAGAATAGACCATGGGCATCATGACTACAACGTTGTGAGTGTACATGGCTACTTCTCTTCGTAATTCCCTTGATCTTGATCAACACTGATTGGTCCAGAGAGATATTTGTCGGGATCGTGAGGTGTATGACAAGCATGTTGCTTCCTGTACCATTGTACATTTTATTATGTCTATCCTAGATACAGAATAATATTCTCACTTTTCACATTCCATAAATGATTTTTGGTTTAAATGAATTGTATACTTCTGCCTCTCTTCTTCGTTCTCATTCTCTCTCTCTCTCTCTCTCTCTCTCTCTCTCTCTCTCTCTCTCTCTCTCTCTTCTCTCTCTCTGTAAAATGTAAACGACAAGCATTAAATGTCCTCCATTTTTGTAAAGATTAAAGGTACATTTAACAGTCCACGACTCTGTGGAAGAGAATTTTGATAGGTCCCCAGTTGTTGGCCGACATAGTTATTATTGCTATGTATATTTCCCTGTGGGCGTTGTCGGTCGGTCACATGATGTTGTGTTGGTTGTGGACATCACCACTGCAGCGAGTGAAGCATTGTTCCCGCCCTTTCTCCCCACCCGCCAGGTCATGTACGTCACAGCGCCCAGTCCCTATGTGTTCATGTTCATCCTGCTCATCCGCGGACTGACGCTTGAGGGTGCCTCTCTAGGACTCGAGTACTACCTCAACCCGGACTGGAGCAGGCTCTGGGACGCCCAGGTGAGCCGCATGCTGGGGAGAGAGAGAGAGAGAGAGAGAGAGAGAGAGAGAGAGAGAGAGAGAGAGAGAGAGAGAGAGAGAGAGAGAAACGAATGAGAGATAACGAGTGAGCCAGCAAGGTAGCATAATATGAATGTGCTCAGTACAGATTTAGAAAGAAGACAGAACTGCCTTCTCCCGCGCCCATTTTCCACAGTCTGTAGTTCCTTGTTCTCCGGTTCCCAAACTGCAAACTTATCAATAGAGTGTGTTTATGAATATGTCAAACTTACTGACTGTTTGTCAAAAATTACGACTGGCATTCACATCATCTCGTGATGGAAGTTCTGGATCGTGTTATGCATAATTAGAAATAATAAAATCTTCACGCTTCACTGTGACTGAAAGCTGATTATGTGGCCCGTATGGCCTTCAGAATAATGTATGCGTTCTCACAGCCCCTTGAAGGTTTTACTAATGGGGTCAGAATGTACATCCATACCTGGGGGGGGGGGGGGGGGTTGGTAGGGGGTGTTATTGGGATTTATTTTTTTATAGAGAATAATAATAGTTTCTTTAATGCTTTTTCTGTCCTGAAGATAAATATAGATCTAGTCGTATTTCGAGAAGATAAAAAACCCAAACAAAACATGTTTTTCGTCCTTCTACTTTTGAAAGCGACCTTGAAGAGTCATAGCGTGGTTTTAAGAAGATCCGCGCAAAGTATACATTACAGTTAACCGGTTCGTTCCGCCCCCCCCCCCCTCCACCCCCCCACCCCCCACCCCTATCCTCCTCCAGAAATGATTGTTGGATTATCAGCTAACAGTATTACAGTGAGGATCAATTACCCTTTAACTTGAACGGAATTTTAACTGTTCTTGGGGTGGTGCAGGGAGTGGGGAAGATTTGTTACTTTGTGATTGTCGGGTGCTCCGGTCTGGTTTGCTTCTCTTTTTTAAAGAATTAAACATCTCCTTTATCTCTCCTCCTTTTTGTGTTTGTCACTCTCTTGTAACGCCTCTCATCTTCGGCTCTTATTAAGCGTATGTATCAAGTGCCGTAAAATGTTTACGTAATAAACTAAAACAAGAAAAGAGGTCCAGGAGGTCACAAAAGGCTTAAGGGTCCTTGGGAGATTTTTAAAAAAGCCTCGAAATTTTGTTAGGATCGGTGGTATTCGTTCATTTATTGTTGCGTGGTTATTACAGAATTCTGTCGAATGCAATCATTCTCGGCACACTCAAGATCTTTCCTTGACCCACTTTCCTAATATTATTAAATGTTTTCCAAACCTTGGTCATAAACTGGTTTATTCCGTGTGACTGCACACGAATGATACAGCCAACTTCTGCTTCTGCAGAAAAATTTATAGAGTGTTTATTCAATCTATCGTTGGAGCTGTAATGTACAAACATTTTGGGACTTTGGACTTTACGGAGCTTTGATGGGTCCTCTTTTCTGCTTAGGGATATGGATGGTTGCCGGTTCACTTGTGTGGTTTGCTCCTTCTTTCCCATAAAACACTCGTGTCATCCAAATCTCTGCTTCTCCTTTTCCTCCTCCTCCTCCTCACCCTCCTCCTCCTCACCCTCCTCCTCCTCCTTCTCCTCCTCCTCCTCCTCTTCATCCTCATCCTCATCCTCATCCTCCTCCTCCTCCTCCTCCTCCTTTTCCTCCGCTATTTTTGTATGCTACTATCTAGTAGCAATTAAAATCTTCGGCACGAAGGCATACTATTTCATCTGTTTGTGTTGCAAACGCTACAAAAGTTCTGGAAGGTGCTGCTGTTCATCGTAATTATATTCTATAAGACCTTCCAGTGATGTAACGGGTGTGGTTGGTGTGAACTACCTATTTGCCGAAATTTACTTTTACTTTTTCATCCTTTGTTGCCGTTAAGCGTCGAGGGAAAATACAGTTTTCTGTGATCGGTCAATTCCGCAGCAGCTCTTTCAATTGGGATGGTATAGTTTTTCATGGTTCATACGTTGACTATTATATTGGCAACTGATATTACAACATCCATACATGGACTTGTGGGTATTGTGTTCCAATGTCTATAAGACCTTTCTGTTATCTTGCTGGCAGAAGACGTGAGCAGGTGGTTGGAGGGCGCCACTGGTAGATCCTACTTCTTAAGCTCCCTTTTGTTATTTCTGTTTGTCTGTCTCCTTTTTTCCCAGCCCTATGACCAGTATTGTGTCCATATGCTTCTGTTTACTCAAACAAACATATGAGATTAACGTGATATCGGTTTGCAAGTTTAGAAGTTTTTGGGGTTTTTTTGTTTTCTATATCCTACCCTTTCTACATTGGCCTTGTTAGGCAGAGGTGGCTTTGGTAGCCTAGGGGTTAGGTTACAGGAAGATTACGGGTTCGAGGGTTCGATCCTCACCTCAGTCCCACATTGGGTCCTTGGGAAAGGCACCTGACACAAATTTTCCTTTTGGGTCGGTCCTTTTGGAAATGGACGTTGAACTCAGAGGTATCGCCTCTTAAGTAATCAGATAGTGTTGATAGAGGCTTTAAGCGCTCATATGACCTTAGCAGTTGCGAGCGCCGTAAAACCCTATACTACATACAGAGGCTTTAAACTTATACCATTTCACTGTTTTCGCCGAGGCAGGCAGAGCCGAAGCGGCCCAGCTCGTAAATGATCTACGGTAAACCTAGTTAAATGCAGCACTCTTAGCTGGTGTTGGGGGCGTTCTGTCTGTCTGTCTCTCCAACCTTTCTCTCCCTTTCTCCATTCTTCTTCCTCTCCCTTTCGCATTCTCTCACTCCCTGTTTTTCTTTCTCTTTCCTTCTTTACTCACTCTCCCTCTCTCTCTTTCTCTCTCTCTATCTCTCCCGCTCTCTCTCTCTGTCTCTCTCTCTCTCTGTCTCTATCTCTCTGTCTATCTCTCTCTGTCTCTCTCTCTCTGTCTCTCTCTCTGTCTCTCTCTCTCTCTCTCTGTCTCTCTCTC